AGAAATCCGCCTAACTAGAGTAGACGCCATTCTGTTTCTCACCTTAAGACATGTGGAAAGACTGATCGAAATTCCCAGACAGCTCATTACCGATTTCGCCTTGTCTATGGGTCACCATTGTGAGAAGCTGAGGAAGTGAATTCCTTACTCAAACAGAAGTGTGGTTGAGGTTTCACTTTAGAGATCATGCGGTCGATTAGATTCCTGGAGCTGCAACGTCAGGGATTCGTCGCGAAGGCATTCAATAAAGTTTCTCTCGGACAACAATCCAATACTATTTAATCGGACCTTTATTGACCATCTTCTCAAGGAACCTTGGGTTAGTCGGTGTGTTGCTCATTGGACGCAACATTATCGACATGGGGGACTCGAGTTCTAATCACTTTTTATACAAGCAGTTCCACCTCTCACACGGTATCTGCTGTGCTCCAAAACTTCCGTGGAACAATAATACACCAAGTCAAAAGCATGACGCGCTGCGTCCATTTGTGGTCGTCTAGTTTTGGATGTGTGAATGTCCAATTGGAAAGTCATCATACCTTATACCGTGATACATGCATGATCTCTATGGATAGACATTTCTAGTTTGACTGTGGCTGTCGTCTGCCCGATAAGATGAAATGTGTGACTAAATCCACACTATAAGACGTTTGTCTAAAGTCGTGGAATTAATTAGCATCTCTTAGACAGATGTGTGCGTTTAAACAAGGGTGGTGGGCGATTTCGCGGTACATTTTGGTGCGTTTCCAGAAACCTTGTAAGTGGTGTATCCGTCCGTACATGTGTCACGATATCTCGAATATCGTACCAACTGAAACACGAGACGGCTTGGTTCATCACATTCAGTAGCCTGGATACATCACAAACAAGAGATTCAGCTGGGTTCCAGGTGAGTCTCTCGCAGAACCAAGTTCGCTTGTAGATAAGCACTAATATTTTCGGGAACTTTTCATCAGATCATCACATATGCAGTGTGAGAACTGAACATCACTTCAGTAGTTGACTAAACGAGGAACTACCTGGCCAACTGGGTGGTATAAAAGCAAAATCTTAGCTAAGGAAACTACTCACAAGGTTGCTGAAAGCTCTTCAACTTCGAGTGTCGCACGAAATGGCCTCTGTGCAGCAAGTTAAGTTGAAGAATATCATAAACGAGGGATTGAGTTGATCTCTCATTAGAACCGCATCGGTACACAAGTGAGGGTTTGTGTGTGTGTGGCAAAAAATGTGGTTTGAAGGTCTGTTGCGTGAGAGGGTCTGGCAGCTTGTGTCACCTGAACAAGAATAGTTTACACTTCATCAGAATTATATTGTTACCGCCCTTAGGTATATATCGGCAACCTGGAAGCCCCTTTGTAGATGACTCAAAACGGTTAGCTGCAGTTGGTCATGTGACCAAACTCAATGATATGTGACGTGATCAAAACTTTGACTGTGCTAATCAATATGTTGGTATTCCGGCATCATACGTGCTGGCGTATTCTCTGACAAAGTTACTGAATACCTCCTGAAGTCACGTATCAATTGGCTTACTGAGTTGCGCAGACGAGGAACGAGCAGTGAATTTTTGAAAATTGTGCTTAAGACATCCACTTTGTTCACTCAGTTTAGCCTGAATACACCCGGATCGCCCAACTTTACAAAATTTATAACGAACTAACCAAAGTGGTCGCACGTTAACACATTGATCCGACTAGACGATAGTCTTCTTTTTGTGCGGATAGGGAACTGTTCCCGTTGGGCGTGGTTGCCGCATAAAAGGTAAAAATATAAGTCATAAACAAATGAGGACAACACGTTTTTACTGTTTTTGTTCCTGCTCACGCCACTTTATCCAAATGATAGATGATCCAATGCGGGCCTGTCAGAACTGTTGCTTTAGTTCATTCAGTGGCCTGAAATTGATTGATTTCGCTCATATAAAGTGCTTTCCGATGGCACAAACACCATAAATCTCCATTCGATACCGGAGGCTTTTTAGTATATCATCGAACGAAATAAGAGCGACAGAATATCTAGGCAGGGTTTCTACTCTCTACGAGCGATAACTATCAAGTGTTAGGAAGTTAGTACTCCTCACCATCATCTTCGACAGCATAACAACACTAGTGCTTAGCTTCTGTACAACCATGATTTGTTTGAAAGCTTTAGTGTGAAGAAAAGAATAAAAGTGAACGAGGAAGAAACTTAGCGCTGGCTTACTAAAATCATTTTGAGGTGTCTACACTCATTCAGGCAGTCCGAATAGAAAATGACAACAAGAACGTCACCGACATCGATTAAGAGCCAAAACTTGCAGCTTCTCTAACTAGGCGCAGTAGGGCTCGCAGGGTATGGTCCCTATGATTAACCCCGACAGCGAGATGCTTGAGGATGTGGGAAACAGATGGTGCGCAGTTATTGGTTGCAAAATCATTGCAAGATGAACGAAGTCTTCAGTCCTAGGTGCTGGGCCTACAAGGAGAGAGTTAGTAATGGGATGGAGAGAGGGGAAGAAAAAGTATGTGAAAGAGAAAGAAGAGAGGCGTCAACAGTAGCATTTTTTCGCTTACCCGTCCTGCCGTATGCAGCAAGTAAGGCGACCCGGCTGATGGCACCACGCGACGGCCGATGTGGCATGAGTTTATTTGTGGATGTGCAATTCATGGTTGTACGTGGGCTGGGATACTGCCAGGGCGCCCACACCTAGACAGGAGGACGATTAGGGTCCTCAACCAAAGCCTTTGGCTCGAAAACCTAACCGCAAAGCTGCGATGTTTGACTGGAAATGCAAGTACATTACCATTTTTACGGAACACGTAACCACCTCCAACCGGGGAGACTGTGTTCGTCGTACTTCTCATCATTGACCAACCTAGTATGAGAGACCCTGTGAGCGTTTCCCGGACACCACCCAGTGTAGCTAATGGGTCACCGAGGGACACAAGCTGTCGCACAGCGGTAGGGTACAGTATATTCGTGACGAAGTTGGTACTAGGGATAATCGGTAAATCAAGTAAGCTACCTGTAATTTCAGTATCTTCAGCGTTTTTTATGACACCCTTTTCCATAGTTGCACACACCTTGTCTTGGTTCAGACATGAAGAATCTGTCCACAAAAGTGTGTCTACATTTGTAACCCGATTGGCCTCCATCTTTTACTTCAATGCTCAGTGAAACGCCACCCAGCCATCTTTACTGGTGGGCCCGAACCAGTCACTACGTTTCTTGTCGAGGATATGTGACAGACTGTTGGACTGTCAGTGAATCATGTATGGGCGTTTCCGAAAATCCTTACACTGTTTTTCCCCCCCCCCCCCCCAAATCACGGATTAGCTATAATTCACTGCCTAAAACCATTAATGTGTGTAGGTACCTAAAACATTTGGATTGCTCAATGAAATTGAAGAACGCACCAAATATATAGTTCAGTACGATAGTGCGAGCAAATTGCACACTGAGGTTACTAATCGGTGTTTAGGTCCCCACAATACCAGAGCGCGAGCAACGCTACGAATGGTTTTTTAAGTTCGCAGTGTTAGACGCCTCAAGTAGAACATAAGGTAGACAGAAACCACATCTACCTGAGGAATTCAAAGAGGGGCTATCGAAGAGATTTCACCAACTTCCTTCAAGAATCTATAGTAGCACGATATCTCGAATATCGAACTTGCTGAAGCATGTGGCGGCCTTTGGGCAGCATGTTCAGTTGAAGAAAATCATAGACGAGAGATTCGGCTGAGATTTAGTAGATCTTCTGGTAATTTGCGACGTTTGTCGTTTGATTCAAACCCTCTCGAATGGCATGTCAATGCCAACCCAGTGATGGTTTGGTTGCGTCTGTGTGGTTGACCGGTATTAAAGGTAGGCACGCTAGACCGTTTGGTGATCTGCTTAACCGTTTCTCATTGCGATACTTGTTCGTAGTTGGCTTTCCGTCCTACTGGTGCGCGTGTGATTTGGTGAAGCATTGGTCGAGTCAACTTGACTATTGGAACCGAAATACGGTTGCATGTGGAAAGGAAATTACTGGCCGGCTGCGAAATAGTCGATTGATTCTAAATGTCAGGCAGCACTCCATCACCTTTGTTGATATTTTTTCTAAACTACGACTCCAGGAATTGAATGCACCTGATGCTTTTCTTTGAAAGAATATTATCTGACAGTGAATGATTCTCAACTTCACCTACTTTGGCACTGACTAGGCTCAAACCAGACCAATGCAACTTCAATGGCACTATCGATCATCAAGTCTGAAGGTAAGCTTTACTACGATTTTCTGTTCCATCGTCGAAGACAAAAGACTCCTTCAACTAGATACCCCCAGTTTAATTTTCAAAAATGGTTCTCGGTTCTTTCAAGAGGCTAATTTTCTCCCAGCAGTCCGCAGGATGACTCGTTTGATGGGAACATTTCATCCGGGCAATGCAACCGACAGACAACAATATCGCCGGAATAAATCAGTCTTGGTTGCTCAAACGTAGTCATTCCTAAACCTCCCTTGAGCCTAAGGGGCACAAGACATTTGAATCGTATATGTTTACCGTTCCAGGTGTTCTTCATATGTACGGAGATACAGACGGAACCGTGTTCCTAACGGTTCACTTCAGTCTGAGATCTCGGTCCTAGGGTTCGCTGACTATCTGATATCCAGTCCATTATTGGATTGCAAAGTCAAAGAGAACTGCTTACTAACAAGATCGTCGGACAACCAAGATGTCATTACCATACATGACGTCGGCTGTAGATCATTTGACTATGAAGTTCACTCTTTGCTCCGAACCAGGCATTAGAATACTTGCTATAGAAGAGACTGTTGGTAACTGAGGTAGCAGAGATGGTCTTTGGTTTGTTCGCTGAGTTGGACAATTTGATTGCAAATGTTTCATCACCAATCGAAGTGACATCATCACTGCGTTGTTAGGGTGCACGGTGGAGCGTAGCGATGGGTCGGTGGTTGTGCGCTGAGTAGTGTTGTGTGTGCTAAAATGCATGCTGCTAGCTGGGGTTAACCTTCGATCACGATTGGTTGTTCCGTCGGTTGGTTCCATTGGCTGTTCTGTTATCCTGTGTCCTGATTGATCGGTGACCTTGCGAATTGTGAACCTGGCCTCCTCTGCTCTCGTGCTCTAATCGAACCTGGAGTGACCTCTGTCGTTGACCTCTCTGGGTTCCGGCTTGTGACCTTTGTTGATCCGACTCCAAGCAGTTCCGAATCCGATATTTGGCTCTCCTTGAGCATTGATGTGGAAAGGACCAACGCACAACCACCAACCCATCGATCGCTACACTCCACCACACCCCCCAATAACACACCGATGATGTCACCTCGATTGGTGATGAAACGTTTGCAATCAAAGTGCCTAACTCAGCGAACAAACCAACGACCAACTAGAACACTTGCCACTATATGTTCTGGGAGGATATTGACCGGGTATTCATCAGCCTGTCGAAATTGGAAGACTTGAAGACTGAAACTGATGATCGAGTAGTAGCATGCCTCATCTCAGTGATACTGTAAAAAAAAGTTCAGTGCGGACCCGAATAAAGTAGATTCCCTAGTCTCATCAGACCTTTGTCATAGAAAATGGATTCTAATAAAGCACATGCTTGTTAATAGCCTACGAGTAAAAATATTGATAGTCGGACTGGGCAACTGCTGTGTGGCAATTCCAGGGTGAACAAGGCGTGAACTACAGTCATAGTGTCCTCTTTGGTGAACGAAAACGTGCTCTTTGTCTGACAGTGACCTTTAAATGTGGAGGAGGATTCTGTGTTCAACAAAAGCTGGCTGTTACTACGATTTTTGCGATATGTGGCTTTTCAGGAAATTTACCTTACTCTAATAGACGTAATGCACTATTCATAAGGTTGTTGAAGACTGTTCGGTGGCCAACGACCGGTTTCACTCTTCTTGGAACTCATCAGGTAGGCATAGTCCCCGCCAGCTTTATTTTCTGCTTAAACCCAAAGTGAAATGATTTCGACAAATATACCCATTTGCAAATCAATTTGGTTTTCAAGGGTGACTTAAGTGGATATCTCGTTTATGATGTTCTTCAACTGAATGTGCTGCACAAAGGTCGCCTCATGTTTCAATTGGTACGATATTCGAGAAAAGAAATCGCGGCTTTCACAAAGGATACTACTCACAAGGTGGCTGAAAACTCTGCAGAGGTCTACTAGAATTCAAAACAACTTTCTCATCTAATCTAATCTCATGTTGTTTAATTTACACTCAACAGTAGTATTGTTGGGTGCAAACGGAGCGCTCAATTTCACTCACAACGAGGCTTGAGAGGGGAAGAACACCGTTATCCACAAACTGGCTTGGGGGTGTCATTCCAAAACAAAAGTTTCGAGAAAAAATCACCAAACAAAACATACCTGTAGTGTTCAGCGCCGTTCGAAGGGGTTCTGAAAACGTCTCGCATATGGTCATGACAAGGTTCATCCCATATTTCTGCATGAATTAAAAACCGTTGAAAATAAATATAGTTGAAACCAGTCCTCATTGAGGTGGGTGACATTTCGCTTTCGTTTCGTCTCATTTGCAGGGCTTGAAAAACTCAATGTGAATGCCGGTCAACCAGTAGAATCCCATTCCCAGTTGCAACATTTTTTCACGGTCAGTTGTATAAGTGGCAAAAGAGAGAAAACCCCTCACAGGCAAGTTCATGAGTTAGGTTTTGCGGTGCCAACTATAGAACATTTACGATTCAGAGAAACCAAAGAGAAGTAAGACCACAAGGGTCGACTTTAATTTTCCCTCCTAGATGAGGTGCCTCTGAAAAAATGTGCTGGGCCTATCTTAGGTCGAAGCCCCTTTAGAAAGGTCATAACAGGCAGGAAGATTATATTGAGAAGCTGGGTGCCTTCAGTGTAAATCAATAATTCATACAGACAAGTTTGAGTGGAATGCATTGAAGTCAGTTCACTCTGCAAATAGCCATACCTTTGAGTAGTAGAGATGGATGTGGACAAAGAAGTTGGTCACCACAAACACAACAACCCGTTGGTGACTACACGAGTTTTGAATGCAGACAAAGCTTCCCATTCTTAACAAATCACTACCATCGTCATTGACAGCTACGCGTGATTAGAACACTGGTAATTCACTGTTATACAGCCACGTCAGTTTAGTTGAATGAAGTCTTTTAATTAAAACCAGAAAGAAACCGGACAAGGAAGGGGACCTAGGGCTAGCCTATCAGAAGTGCCTGAGGTAACTACACCTCCAGCAATTATTCGGACAATCTGGATAGAAACCGACAACATAAGCGCTACTGAAATCGGGTAGCCACCATTTAGATCAATGTCTTCAACCGAGCACAGGGACGGTCCCATGGACCCCATGCTGAAGGGTGAACCGCACCAACAGCGCACAAACTTTTTGAAACATCTTCGTTCCCTTCTGCCGTGTCAAATTCCGACCACCTCTAGATTCCTTCCACTCGGAATTAGGCATGGAGAACTGCGCCGGCCGAAACAGGTCATAACTTGACATATTGATTGCCTACTCAGAGAATACTGCCAAAGGTAGACCATAATTTCACACACGGTTGGTCTGCTTGGTAGCGGTGTTTGATTAGCAAACGCATAAAACTTTTATCGACCACCGTTGACTGGCATGCACATGGTAAACATTTATTCTTCACGTGCTTCCAAATGCAGTTAACACAATCTTCCCAGCAGTGACGCGTAGAGTAGAGTGTAATAGGTATTTCTGGTTTGATGTTCACCTTCATGGATCCTCAATGTGTCAAGTTTTCTGAGTGACCTGATGCAACTGAATAAGGCTCACATCCCACATGAAGACGTAACTTGCTCACCTGTTTGTACATTTCCCATATGGCCTTCATATGAAGTCGGCTTCTCTTGGTCAGTATTGATATAAATATTTGGGCTTCTGGTGGAATCTTTGGCCTGGAAAATAAAAAGACCCGTTCTGGGTATTTGATGGTGACCAAGAATTACAGTTGCGTCCACGTTTGGAAGTCAAATAATGAGGAACTTTTTGATGAACTGAGTAAACTCGTGGCTTAGATTCATTTAACGAAGTTTTTGTGGACCAATAGTCCATCAAACTATCATAAATTATCTCCTCGAGGATAATCCCCAGGAACAAACCCTTCCCTGGAAGAGGCCATTTTGGTGGTATTGAATTCATTCTGTTGTAACCCCGTCCATCAAGGAAACGACCAATTTGAGATACTACCTCGAGGCAATAGTGGGTGGAAACTAAGTAAAGCATGACTGGCTACTACACTCCCTTCTTATAGAAAGAGTCATTTGCACTCGGAACATCAGGCGAACGTTTTTGAGCCCCACTGATAGGTTCTTGAAGATTCGTACAGGTGGAACTCTTTTGTGGGCACAAACAATTCTCCCTAGTTCTGTGAACACAACTCAGAAGTCACTGGATGAAGTTGGACTATCAATTTGGAAGATTAGGCTGCTGAAGGGACTTGTTTTCATTTTAGGTATATCAACTTTAGCATTGCTTTCCTTTTACTGTAGTCCCAGCACACTCGTTTGCAGCTTTTATTAGACACTTCATCGCTTGATTTGACCACTTGTGCCACCAGCAGCGAGGTTGATTAAATGACGTGTTTCACTCGTTTTCTTTCGAGATTCCGTAGTAACTTTGCAACAACCTCTTTCATGTGCTCAAGTATCATCAAAATTACCGCTTTTTTTCAGAAAGCAAAGAGCTGGTAACCTTCAGTGTGGGTTTCATCCCTCGATTAAGAACAGTTCACACTGACAAGCCTCGAACTACTGTACAACGCTTTAATTCTTGATAGAAGTATAAGATCTCGTAATTTCTGTAAAAATGTCTTTCCTAAAGTGCACTAGTTCCACACTGAACGGTTGAAAATTGTTTAGCTATTTCCAATTCGTTGTGTGGGTCTCATGAATCCCTTGGGAAATTAGTGTTTTTCGGAATCTACAAATCTCTAGTGGAGAAAATTTATTTTTCCAGGAGACGCTAGATTACGTGACGTGAACTGTTGTTCCCAAAGGTTGACCAGTGCAAATTGACAACACTGCTAATCATCAGCCTCACTGTGGGAGGGCATGATTCTCGCTCCAGTACAAACAGTTGCTGTCTTGCATGTCTCTGAAGATATACTTGGTGCCCTTCGGTATTCAACATGGGTTGACTTTATCTAGAAGCTGAAATACGTGACAGAA